ACATCCAGCTCTCTGAGGAAATAATACTTCTCCAGCTGAGTTAAGGAGCGATTTTCACGTCCATTCCCTTTTTTGAAGCCACTAAAGGAAAATCAGAGTGATGCACTTTTTAATGACTTTGGCATAACTAAAAGAAAACTTCACTCTATAAAAGGAAGCCTGGTTTCTCTCCTTATTTGGCAGTAAAACATGTACTGATTGTGAACATGGCTTGAATACAAAGTACATTGTAATTGAGCTGTATAAGCATTTCAGTTTTAAGATGGCACTTATAATCTTTCTCTCTCTGTTGTATGATCCAGAGACTAGGATGACTTAAAATTCAGAGTTTCCAGTTGTTTACAAAGCAGACTTAGACAGTTGAAAAGCTTATTGCTTAGGAGCCATTATTCATCCACAAATTAAAATGATAAGTAGCAGCAAGGGTTATACATTGCTTTCAGCGATATTTAAATGCTGAGCTCCTGTACTGTTTGTTCACTTGTTTTGAGGAAAACACCTTGGAACAGCAAAATTATTATTGTACATGGGGCGGCAGTCAGTCTAGTCCAGCATCTTCTCCCTTATCATGGCTTCAACTAGCCATTTTAAACAAAAAATCCTGTTCCAGTTCGTTTTGAGATAGGATGTCCCAAAGGAGTTTTCTCCTATTGCCCAATAATTTGGAGACTGGCCTGTGTCCTAAATCCTTTCCAAAAGCTGTCTTTTTTTTTTTTTTTTTTTTTAATTTTTGTTGCCAAACCTTGAGTCTGTTGCTTTTCTTCTAGACCTTACTAAGCTCTTGGCCATACGGTTCCCCATGGGATATTTCTTTTCCACGGGGCTGTGACAAGGCAAAGCAAATGGCAAAATATAACAAGTAACTGGAAAAATTAATAGAAAAAAATAATCATCCCTTACTCTTAAATGAGCAAGTCACCAAGTCTGGCTGTGGAAATTCCCCAAGCAAAGGGTCACAGGAGGCTGGGAGAATATTGTAAGGAAGCACCACTACCCGCCTCTTCTTCTGCTCCTCTGGGGACATCGGCTGTAGGAAGCAGGACACGGGGTGACAGCCTAGACATGAGCCTTTGGTCTCATCTCACCTGCCCATGCTTACACAAGGTATTTCAGTCCAGAGGATTTAACTACAGGGGATAAACCTCACCAGCATGACCACAGCTCACACACTTTGGGCATAAAATGAAAGTCAGTTGGACACTGTGTGTCAAATAGACAGAGCAGATGGTACAATTACCTGTTCAGACAAGACTGAGCTACTGAAACACTAAAACTGAAAGATCAGGCTATAGATCTTCACATTAGATACAATTTCTTTCTCAACAGGTGGATGTAGAGATGTAAGTTCACTCACAAAACAAGCAGAGGGTTAACTGCTTTTTGATCAGCTTTTGACACCAATGGAATGAATTTTTACCGAATGCCAATATTACTCAGAGGCTTCCACAGCTGCTGGCCTGAGTCCTGTCTCTACAGTTATCTGGGCTATGCAGGAGGAGGGGAGCCACTGTATCTCTCTGATAGAAATTCTGGGGAGCTGCCAAGGGGCGATGTGAAAGGATCCATTCATCCAGTGGTCAGCAATGGGAGCACTTACGGACTCAGGGACTACACAACCACGGTGGACAGAAGCAGCAAATCTGCACTCATGTCCCACATTATGTATTCTCATGCACAGAGAATTTATGGTAGAAATCCAGGAGAAAAAAATAAAACACAGCAACATGCTGTAATAGACTAAAAGGTATTTAATTGTTTATACAGTCAAAGGGAACCACTGAACTAATAAATGGGTTGTTATTCCTGCGAGGGGAGGACAAGTGGCACATTAGCTCATTTTATTAATAAATTAATACCAGATTAGTGTGTTTAATTGATCTAAATTCTTCTAACCCAGCTGAGGTTGGCATGTTCGAACCAGCTTGATGCAGGCATGTCACAATTCATTACTTATTTTCCTTAGCCGGCTCAGGGAATTTGAGAAGAATCAGGTGCACCAGAGGAGCAAAAAGGCGTAAGATACCCACTGCTTTTCCCTGGCCATTTCTCTTCCCTTTCTGACTTGAACTCTGCTGTTGATCATTATTGCCAGCTAGAGGTGAGCCTGCCAATCACTCTGACACCCTGCATTTCCCAAACTAGAGACTCTCCTCTGGGAACTGTTGACTCAGACCTAAATATTCCTCACAGTATTATTTTTTACTACCTGCTATAGAATTTCTGCATGCAAAAGATGAATGCTCGTGAGGACTTCATTTAAACGGGAACATGACAGAATTGATAAATCTAGTGACAAGAGCAAGAGCAGCCAAGAAGTGAGAGAGACCTGTGCGTTACTCTACCCAACCGCTGCACTGAAGATGCGACTTGATGTGTCATGTTCTCTACACACACTATCTGAACCCAGCCTTACAGTACACTTGACATTTTACAGAATAAAGAGATGACCTGGTGACTCAGGCAGAATAAAACAATATTTTTAGGTGCAAAGCCACTGGGACTCAGCATATGGAGTTGCTTGAGTTGTTGCAAGACTGCTGTTACGGTACAAAACTAGCAATAAAGAGGAAAAGAAAAACTATCAATAAAAAGGAAGAGAGGACCACAGCAATCAGAGAGGAAAGATATTCCACCCACAGAGGTTGCTTAAAGCTTTGGAAATATGGTGTTTGGTCACTACTGCTCCCTCAAACCACAAAGCTGTAAGTACTACTGAGGTGTTGTGAGAAAAACAGCACGTCCTCTTCTCCCCAAGACCTGCACAGGGTGGATGAAGAGGGACACTGATCCAAGGACTTCAAAACTGTAGCAGATCATGAGAACCCTCCAGCCACCATCCTCACCCTCACTAGCATGTGCAGGCTGGTACAGGCTCCCACACCTTGCAGAGATGCTCTGCTTGCACAAGGCTTTGCTGCAGACCCCAGTTAGTGCAGGTTTGGTCACCAGTGTGGCTGGGACCGACTGAGGCAGGGAAGTGCTGTTGTGTGTGGCAATTACCATTTGCTTCCAAAACATTGATCTGTGCCAGGTCCCAAAGGGGGGAGCAAGCATCAGACTGCTTAATGTCCTCCTCCCCACAAAAGCACCTTTGCAAACTGCTTCTGGGGAGGAGCCATTCTGGACCAATAAACAAATGTCCTCAGAAGAGGGTTTCCTCCTCATTCACTTCTCTTCACGGACCGGGGATTTCTTCACTCAGATAACACTGGAAAACTGTCACTATGCAAAAATTCTCAGTGCCATGGTTTCGGGACGCATACAGGAATGCTGCCAGAGTATGCAGGGAAGCAACTAGAAAGGCCAAGGTTCATCTGGAACTAAGGTTGGCAAAGGATATCAAGGATAACAAGAAGGGCTTCTTCAAGTATATCAGCAGCAAACGGAAGACTAGGGGAAATCTGGGACCGCTGCTAATGAAATGGGTGCCCTGGTGACAGAAAATACAGAGAAGGCAGAGCTACTGAATGCCTTCTTTGCTTCAGTCCTCACTGCCAAGGCTGGCCCTCAGGTTCCCCAGTCCTTGGAGGTAAGCAAGCAAGCTTGGAGAAAGGATGACCTTCCCTCGGTTGAGGTAGATCAGGTTAGGGATCTTTTAAGGAAGCTGGACACCCACAAATCCATGGGTCCTGATGGAATGCACCCGTGAGTGCTGAAGGAACTGGCAGACGTCATTGCCGAGCCACTCTCCATCATCTATGAAAGGTCGTGGAGAACAGGAGAGGTGCCTGACGACTGGAAGATAGCCAA